GGACAATAACCAGATATGAATTGTGTTTTATTCTGTGAAGAAAATTTTAAACAAACCTTTTAACAGTAAGGAGGTTACGTGAGATGTAAGAATGCTGCTTGTAGATTATTTTTTCATTAGGAGTAAAAATTCCTAGTAAAGAGGTCTACCTCTGTAAGCTTAATATGTATAGCTTGTAAAACTGTAGCTGTAAGAATATGCTGCAGCATATAGTGCTGTCATCAAAGCTATAGTTGAACAAATACTATGGTAAAGAGCACTCATAAAGAAGCGGTTTGTTTTGGGTTTTTTCTGTTGCATATGTAAAAATAGAACTCCAATAATGTCATCACTAACGCGTTTAACTGCTGGACAGTAAAAAACTTCCCTATGATTCACAACCCGTGAATTCTTGTGCATAAGCTCAAGCTGTATTTGACTCTGTGGCAGGGGAAACGTGTTCAGGTAAAGAGGATCACCCTTAAAATAACATCGGATGGCTGTGATAAGAGTAAAGGTATGGAAAAGGTTCTGCGCTACTGTGCTGCAAATAATGTATATACTGAAGAAAGATAAATCCTTGTGCGATGGATGACTGCTGAGGAGGAATTTTTCAGGTGGATTGTAATTCACAGTATCTCAGAAGGCTGATGTTGATAGATCTCTGGAGATCACTTAGTCCACCTCAAGCAGGGTCACCTAGAGGTGGTTACCAGGATTTGTCCCTGGTTGGGTGCTGGATATCTCCAAAGACACAAAGATTCCACAGCCTTTGTAGGCAATCTCCAAAAGTGTTCAACCTCCATTGTTTGACCAACCTCTGAAAGTGTTTTCTTCTGTTTAGATGGAATCTCTTGTATTTCAGTTAGTGTCTATTGTTTCTTTTCCTTCCACAAAATACCATTGAGTCTGGTTTGATCTTCTCTATTACTCCCACATGCCAGGTATTTATATACATTGATAAGATCCCCAAACCTTCTCTTCTCCATGCTGAAGCTGAACACCTCCATTAAGTCCATATCTTTCTTGTACTGGAAAGACCAAGAACGGACCTAACAACCCCAGATATTTCTCACCAAGTGTGAGCAGGAGTGAAGGATCACCTTGCTCAATCTGCTGGCAATGGTCCCAATGCCACCTGTGGCGTTGGTGCCCTTCTTTGCTGCAATGGATCATTTTTTGTTTATATTTAACTTGTTGAATATCAAGTTTCTGGGACTATTTATTCCCTCACCTTTACTGGGGTCCAGGTGAGACTGATCTCTCCTGTTGTTCCCTGTATTCTTCTTCTTCTGTCTTGAAGAAAACAAGTATCACTCCTATTTTTAAGTCCTCAGGAACAGTCAACGAATGATCTCTCAAAGAGAATAGAGAGTAGGTTTGCCACTTGATGGCAGGTCAGGTCCTTCAGAACTTCTGGGTGCAGCCCTTCAGTTCCCATGGACTTTTGCCTGTTTGTAGAGGTGCTTTTGCCCCATTTGATTTAGTGTATCGCATCTGCTCCTAGCAATCCTTAGTTCTTCAAGAGTATCCCATGGTTGTAAAAGCCACAGCCCTCTCATCAGCTCCAGCCATGTAACCAGTTGTTGACCCACAGGATCTCTACACTCCTCCTCAAGCTGATTATCCTCACTGGCAGGTCTGAGGAGAAAACCTCCTGGACCCCCATGCCCTTCACCCTCATGAGCACATAGATATTTAAGACTGCATCAGCAAGAAACTTAAGATGCATATGAAGAACAGCGTACCATATGTTAGTTATGTTCTTCCCCACTTAGAGTGTGGATACCTGTTTCTTTTAGTCAGATTCAGTAAGTGTAACAGAAGAGCCAGTATAATACACCATCTGTATGGCCTGGAGAATGCTTTGAATAAGATCTGGCCCTCCAGGCCAACCAGAGCTTAATAACAGTATTTTATGCTTGCAGAGCAAGTGGCTGTCACTCACATGTTGCATAACACACACAAGGAGATGTGCAAATGCACAGAATACAGACTTTAATAAAGTTTGCATGGTTGTGATTACAGTTAAAAAATACCCACTACTTGTCTACTGCCTGAAATATCAAATGCTGGGGTTTTTTTCTAAAATTTCTGATTAGCCATTTGCCTATAAATGATTTGTGTAGATATGCAACACTGAATTCATTCAAATAATGTGCTAGTGCAGCTTGCAATCTAGGACCAGAGGAACTTCTATGCCAGAGCTGATCAAAGGTTACAATCCTGTCTCTAAATGTAGTCAGCACCAGATGCTTCAGAGGAAAGTGTAGCACCTCTAAAAGGAGTGCAATGGAGTAGCTTTCCCATGAGGAAAGATCTCTCCCTAATTCTGTAATTTCTAGTGTATATTTTGTACTATTAAACATTGAGAATGCTCACTCATTTGGGATTTTTCTATGACAATTACTTATGTAGTGAAAAGTTACCAGAGAATTTTTCCTATTAACAGAAATAATAATTTTAATTTTAGCCTGGTAAGCCATTTTTTTTCTCTGGTCTTTACTGCCATGAGCTCCTCAGGAGAATTTTGACTTCCATCAAAAAAAAGTTATGGATTCTTAAAACTTCTTAAAATCTACTGTAAAAATACTTCACCTCTGGTCCATGCACGTGCTGTAATTCAAAATAGAAAACAAACAAAATTCACAGATTACAGATCATATTCCTATCAATTTGTATTGTCACAACTGATAGAATAACAGAATTTATACTAAAAAGACCATCAAACCTCACTTGATAGCATGGAGGTGTTCAGAAAATCTTGTTTCCATGGAAATTCCATATTCTTCATGAAATTTTCTGGTGTTTAGAGCCTGGTTCATTAGCAGTCCATGGGTAAAGATGAGATACTTAATGCATCTTCCCATAATAGTGAATCATCTGAATTTAAAATTCAAGTGGGTAGAAGGCTTTCTGCATTATTTTACCCTGCTCAGCACTGGAGCTTCAATGTCTCACAGAGATCATAGACTCGTAGAATCATTAAGATTGGAAAAGACCTCTCAGATCATTGATTCCAACCATTAACCCACCACCACCATGTTCACTGCTAAACCATATCCCCAAGTGCCACATCCACGTGCCTTTTGAACACTTCCAGGGATGTGCCATTATTTTGTTGAGTAGGTAGAGGCAGTAAATGCAGGTGCCTGTTCTACCCAGCCTCTGGTTTTTCCCTAGTCCCATATGTAACTGTGCAGGGCTGTTTTAGTGTGGATATGGTCGTGTTGTCCTCTTACATTAGTGTCTCCCACTGTATAGATACACACATGCGCACACAATTTCCTTAGCTTTTTCCAGCCCATATCATCCAATTAATTGCTTCACAAGCTACATTCTTCTTAATGAGAGTGGGCCACAAGGACAGGATGCTGGTAAGCTTTTCTGCTCCGAAAGTCCATCACTCCTGCAGCATACCAGTTCAGTGCTGTGAAATAATCCCTGGCTCTTGTTTTACCTTTCCCTTGGGGTACCTGCTCCACTGAATGACCCCATCGTGCTCGGTGCATTGAGATTTTGAAACTAGCTGCTAACTACTGTGGATGCATTTCCTGACCTTACTGGTGGGAATTGAACCAAAGTCTCTCAAGTGCTGTAGGATCTAATTAATATGCATCTTATTCCAGGAAAGACTCATTACTTTATAGATATTTATATAAGGGGTATGTCTGCGATAATGGTTAATAACTATGAATAAAGTTTCATTTCTGATAGAGGAATAAAGCTTTTGTTTAGATATGGATTTTTAGTTTTATTAAAAAAAAATTAGAAAGTATGATTATGATAATTGGGTGAGAGTTCCAAATGGTCACATGAAGTTTTTTATTCTTGCCTTGAGTAGTAGCTGGAATCAACTCTCATTCCTCACCTAAAATTTAAGAGAAGCAGGGAGGAACTAATTTAAGAATTAATTCAAAGTATTAGCAAAGGATCCAGAGAGAGTCAGTGCTGGATACAGAAAACTTCTAGTGTACAAGAAAGTGAAGTGAGTTATGGGTGGCAATATTCTGAAAAAATTAAGAATAAGCAAAGTCCTGTCCTTTTTTAACTAGAAAAGGCATGCTATAGTAACAAAGGCTACCTATTGATCTGGTCTCCACTATTTTTTGGGAGGTGTAACTGTTTGTTTAGAACCTTTTAAAAACTACTCTGGCACATAGATTTTATTGAGGTTAAACTTATTGGCAACACCCAAGGCCTTCAGTTCCAGAAGGAATTAGCTTGTGCTGCAGAGGAGACAAACCCCAGCAGCTGGGCAGACCAGACACCTGCATTTACTCCCTCGCAGGTTTTGCTCAACAGGTAGAAATGACAAATTAACTTCAATGCTTCAAAATCACATAGTTCCAAAGCAAGTTTGGAGGCTCAGGATTTTTGGACAACCAAATTTTAATGCTTAGTCATGCTGCATGTAATGATTCAGTCTTGTTCTCCTCAAGCCAATAGAACTGAAATACTGTAAATTGATAAAATGTTACAATAAAAGCATATTTCAAGGCAGATATAAACTACTGTATTTTAACATGTATATGACTTCAATTCAGACTTCTATGAAGTTAGAGTTTTAATGAGCTGCAGAAAATAGTAAGAATCAAAGACAATGCAAATGTGGGATGCAGTCCTGCAATGCTTAGTGCTTGGGACATCTCTAAGACTTACCAGCATTGTCATCTTACTGCAATTACAGGGCTTTGTTTACTACTGTATGAAAGATATGTTTTTGGCCACTTCAGAGGGCAGTGATAATTCTTCCCTATCTCATTCCACAGTCCACAGGAGCAGGAGGAGTCCCAAGGGAGTCTTGTGCAATTTTTCACCATCTTTATCCTTATGGAGCATCATAGCCCACATAAAAAGATGATGTGCAAATTTGTGAGACACTCCATGGCAGCTGTGAACATATGTATGAAGATATGTTCATTTTGAAATGACAATTGCTTTAACAATCACTCTACAGCCCTTAGAGTTATCCAAAGGAGGGAGTGCTTAGGAAGAAGAAAATAAGCTAGGGAAATAAGTGAATGTTTAATGGAGATTTTTATTTTAAAAAATGGATATCTTACAAAAAATAATATTTGGAGTAAGATGACATTCTTGTAGTGCATGGTTTGATGAGGTAAGAGAGACTTGAGACTATTGGTTCTAAAAGTACAAGTTAGTTGTATACTTTGGAAGTGAGGCTTGGAGCACTGTACATCTGTACATGCTAAAAGCCAGCAGTGCTGCTTTTTTGGCAAGCCATGTTGATACTAAATTCGTGTTCTGGGGATGATTGTCCCAGGGGTTCTGTGGCTTTTACTGAGAAATGGCAGCCTGGGCTGCTGAAGACTTTCTTTTCTTCACAATCTCTTGTTCTTGCTTGGCCATATTCCAGTTTGCACTGAAACCATTTCCTATCTCTGTTCAAGTTAATCCACAACAACAAGAAGAGTAAATGGAAGTGAATTAGATCACTTATGATATCTGCATGGTGGTGAAGTTGTGGGTAGCCCCTCCCCTGCTCATCCCAATACACACACATATATGTTTGCATTTGCACGGGACACTCAATGGGTTTATGTGTCAGGGCTCTCTTAAGAAGCCTCGCAGGGTTGAATGAACAGATATGACAGTCAGTACAATCGAAGTCACCCTGGTTTCTAGATTTATGTTACCTGCACTGAGCTATTGGAAATCTATAGCTGCATGCTGTGAGGTAAAGCCAGCAACATAGGAATTGTCCTATTGGGTGAACTTAAGGTCCCTCTAGTCCAGTTTCCTGCTTCTGACAGTAGTTGCCCAGTCAGAAAAAGGCAGTATGTTGCTACCCCTTCTACTTCTCATTTTCCAACAGTTTTCAGCTCAGGGTATTTCCTGAGCTGGATATTTCTTGTAGTAACCTCCACAGAATGTCTTCTCTGTGCACTTTACCAGTCCTCCCTTGTAACCTCTAAACATCCCTCGCAGCCCTTGCAGCGAGTTCTGCGTTTTCTCACCAGTGCTTAAACTTTCTATCCCTAGCTGGATTTCGTTTGTTGTCACCTACATTTCTGAGAATTGGTGAACAACTGATGCCATGGGAATCAATGCCCTTTCACTCTTTTCCATCTGCTTGTGGATGGACTTGTGCATTCTCTCTTAGTTCTCTTTTCCAAGCTGAGATGTTCTTGCATATGCAGTTCTTTGCACTGATGTGCATTATCCTTACTGGTCTTTTCTGCTTGACCATATTCTCCTAAAATGAGACCAGAGCTGCAGAATTATTAAAAATATAGGTGAATCAGACATTTATTCAAAGGTACAGTCCTTAGTTCTGTTTTATTTCTCTTCCTTCCTAAAAATTCTTAACAGTTTATTTGCTTCCTTAATTGATAATGAGCAGTGACCTAATTCTCTCTCGGATCTATCATATATTCTTATTGTTGAATCACAATTGTCAGTTCAGAACCTTATGCACATTTGAAGTTAAGACTTTTTCTGGTGCATGTAGCCTTTCTTTATTCAGAGTGAATTTCAGCTACTGTGATATTGACCAGCCACACAGCCTTGTAAGGTCCTCCCTGCAATTCTTGGCAGTCACTGCCCTCAACACCCTGTATTTTGTAAATGCAGAACTGTGTTTTGCCTGGATATAGGTAGTATAGAAGATATCTAGAGAAAATATGTTGTTCTTGTCTACAACCCTTTCTTCCTAGATGTCAAATAACTTTGACTAGTTGCAGCCTATGCTTTACAGGTGAGAAACTGCAGGATGGAATTTGCCATGTTCACTCAATTACTCATTGAGTGAAAAATCTTTCTGTGGCCAGTCAGTACCAATGTGGTGGCTGGGTGTCACCTGGTACTTACATTGCAGGATTATTTATTTCTGATAAAAGCAAAGTCTTGGGTATTTTCAGCATGAAAGTACTGTTTCAACCTTTTCTGTAATACTTATTTCTAGCACTTCTAATCATTTTAGTTAGTTGGGGATGACATCACTTGTTTAACAATAACAAATTGAAGACTGTCCTGGGAGTATAACAAAAACCCATATATGGAAAGGAGGGGGAAATTTCACCCCTAGGTGTTCAAAGCTGATTAGATCTCATTAGAGAGTGCCTTAAGTGAAATGACTTGGAGCTCTGCATTTCTCAGTCTTCTATATGTTGAAATTTTGTGTCACAAAAACTGCTATATTTGCATAGGGACTAATACTCCCTTTACAGAGAGTAAAGCCTTAAAGCGACACTACATACCAAAGCACTTCGGACCCGATGCCCCCTGAGGCACATCTCCAAGCAACTCCCACCCACCCAGAGGCCCCCCCACTTCCACAAAACTCTCCAAGCTTCACCTGGACTCAACACGGCGACCCACGGCGCAGTCCCGCCCGCTGCTCCTCTTCTTCCCTCTTGCCTCGAAGTTCCTCTCCGGTCTCTTCTTTCTTCTCCGACGGCTTCTGCCAAGGCAGGAGGACACAGTTTAGCCTGAGAAACACCAGCTCCTCCCCAAGAAGGAAACCCGGTCCCTACACCCCCAGAGGGAGATCTCCAAGCCACCACCTAACCACCCCCCCACCCACAGGCCCCCCCACCTCCACAAGTTCCTCCAAACGTCACTTGGGTTAGGGTACCAGCAGCAGTGTCAGCTACAGGGGTCTCGACGAGGGGGCAATGGATGGACTGCTGTTGCGGAGTCAGGGGGGTCCTGTAACTCTTTTTGGCCACGCAGTGGCCGTGAGACTTCTAC